CAGTTTCCTATGGTAGGCCAGCTTCGCAGCTCTTTCAGTTGTGATGTTATGTTTTCTTAGGGTTTCCTTGACACCCTCGATCCACCTTTTGCCTGGCCTTCCTCTTCCTTTATAGCCTGAGTGCTTGGTGTTGTAGGCTCTCAAGGCTGGCTGGTCAGGTGGCACGCGTAACAGGTGGCCAAACCATTTTATCCTCTGTCTTTCTATGTAACGCAGGCAGAACTCAGTGCCGATAGCTGCTCTTACTTCTTCATTTCTCTGCCTGTCTCGTCTTGTGATGTTAAGGGATTTGCGGAGACATTTCATTTCGCATGCCGTGATTTTGCTTTCATGGGTTTTTCTTAAGGTCCAGGTCTGGCACTGATAACATAATGTTGGTATGAATATTGAGGTGATAAGCTGTCTCTTTGTGTCCATGGAGATGTTTGGATGAGATCGAAGGGGTGCGAGCTGGTAGGTAACAGCGTTGGCTTTTTGAGTTCGCATTTCTATTTCTCTATGGACCCGTTTTCAGAAAAAGTGCTGCCAAGATATTTAAACTCTTTCACCTGTTTCAGTTGTTTACTGTTGACATAGATGTTCAGGGGACTATGGTTTCGGCTCACTTTCATAACTTCTGTTTTTGATATGCTTATTTTCATGTTGAATTTCTCACAGGTTTTTGTTGAGTTCGGTAGTGTGATTTTGGAGGCTTTGTTGGGCATGATGAATTAGACATTGGTCGTCTACGAACAGAAATTCATTTAGGCTTTGGTTTTCTTCTTGCGTTATTGTGTCCATATAAATTATAAACAGGAGGGGAGATAGAACGCATCCCTGTCGTACCCCAGATCTTACTTTGAACCAGTCTGTATTTCCTTCCTTCGTTCTTACTGAGCTTCTGCTGTTGGAATATAGAGCTCTGACATTATCTAACAATTGTCCTCTGAGGCCATACTTTTCGAGTGTCTTCCAGAGTTTTGCATGGTTTATACCGTCAAAAGTCTTCTCTTGGTCTATAAAGACGATGTTGGATTCTTTGTTGTGTTCTATTGTAGAACAAAAGAGTAACAAGCATAAAAAAGAAGGAGAGATAAAGACAATAGCTCTTTGATAGGAAAGAAGGAGCAAACCACACCAGAGCACCTGCCATCCACTCTTAGTCTTATTGATTCTGGACCACCGAGGGATCTTTAACTTGCGCAACTTGCATGGATCTCCGCCATGTTTCACCCTTATCTGAGAAGGCAAGGCGTTAGACCTTACCTACCCTAAGATCAGGGGAGCGGCTGAAAGACAGCAGTAAGAAGGAGCCAAGGAGCAGTAGCAGAAAGCAGGAGCCCAGAGGAGG